TTATGTTCTTTTTCAATTTTTAGGGAGTGGGAGCCACTAACCACGTGAGTGCTAAAGGGAGTTTGGGAGTTGTTGGTTCACATGTGGTGAAGGATATCGTTCTGATCAACGAGAAGTCATAGTATCGTCGATCGTAAGGGATGCCTGTTGGTTATATGAGGTATCACATCCTCATGGGCGTAAGGAATCCCTTGCGATAAATTAGGTATAACAATCTCATTGACAGGAAGGGATTCCTTCCGGTCAATGAGATGTAACTATTTCATCGCCTGGAAGGAATCCTGTCAGCATTAGAGATACTCCAGAGTATCCAAAAGACTGCTAAATGAATAAGAAGTATGAAACTAATCCATGTGTAATATAATATGTAGTAATATTATTTAATAAAACAATATTTCATCTTATTATAAAAGGGGTGGTCCAATGGAAGTATCCCCAAATTCGTAGTCAGCCAATGGAAAAAAAATAAGAACAAATTTTTTTTCTTTACCTTGCCCGCCAGGAGGATTCCCTCCTGGGCCGGCGAGGTTGTCCCGCCCACCAGGAGGGAATCCTCCTGGTCGGCGAGGCTGTACAACCTCTCCAACCAGGAGGATTCCCTCCTGGTTGGCGGTACAACCTCGCTGGCCCAGGAGGGAATCCTCCTGGCGGGCAAGGTAAAGAAAAAAAATTTGTTCTTATTTTTTTTTTTTGAAAAAAAAAAAACGATGAGCCTTGTCAACCAGGAGGATGCCCTCCTGGCCGGAGAGGCTGTACAACTGAAAGGCCGGGAGGAACCCCTCCCGGCTGTGAGACTGTACAGTCTTCGGGATGGGAGAACCCTCCCAGCCCAAGACTTTTTTTTTTACAATCCTCCCTCCCATAGACCCATGCACGCCAATATGCTGCTGGCGTGCAGATTGGCATGCGTGAGGGGGGTTGCTTGCGCTGTAAGCCCTGCTCCTCATGACTTACACAAACATGTCACTAGATTACATAAGCTTAGTTTTGCCTTGTATTTAGTCTTACACTTCCCCTTCACCTAGACAGCAGAGATCTTTCTCTCCTGTCTAGGTGAGTACCTGCCTCTTTCTTTCTCTCCTCATTTCCCTTTCCCCACTTTATGACTCTTGTAGATACTGATGAGAGATCTTTCTCTCCTGTCTAGACTGCAAATTAACCCACTTTGGTACTAGAACTTCTCCGTAGGAGCTATTGAGCTCCTTTGCTAGTGCCATTTCCGGCGGACAGTGAAGGACTCAACGGAGTCCTTACATGCGCTTATCAACCCCCGGGGCAAACTTGGTTTCTCTCACAGGTGTTTTGGTTGGTTTCTTCTTGGGGTAGGGGCGTTGATAAATGCACGCCAAACCGCACGCCAGGTGCAGATTGGCGTGCGCGCCTGCACGCCAAAGCAAATTGGCGTGCGGGCCAGCACGCCAATCTACAGAGTGTAGACCGGCGTGCAGGCCTGCACGCCATATACATATGCGTTTAGGAGCGCCTCCGTCCCATAGGACCCAGGCATGGGTCCTATGGGACGGCAGCGTAGAATCCAGAAAAAAGGGAAAAAAACAAGGCTGGGAGGGGGTTCCTCCCAGCCCAAAGACTATCAAGTCATAGCAGCTCATTGGGAGGGTTTCCTCCCAATGAGCTGGACAGTGTAGCAGCTCATCGGGAGGAAAACCTCTCAATGAGCTGGTTGTAAGCCCAGTTCATCGGGAGGGTTTCCTCCCAATGAGCTAGAGATGTCGCTCGATACCCGGGTACCTGTAGTGGGTGCGGGTACCTGCCTCAAAAATCCAATATTTTTGACACCCGCACCCGCACCCGCACCTGCTAGGGCAGCCAGGGCGGGTACCCGGGTACCTGCAGGTACCTGGCACATTTTTGCAGGCAAATATACCCAGAAATCTCACCCTTGAATTTCTGCATGACTGATATAAGATTGATATTCTATGGAGGTACTGAACCGCCACTTTGCCCAAAAAAATTAAAAATGAAAAAAAAAAATGAAAAAAAAATGAATTCATCAGCAAATTTGGCCATACAGTCCCATACAGTCCTCCCATTGATGACCATTTATGACACTGGTCATCAATGGGAGGACACACTCCCATCAAGGACCGGTTTTGACCGGTCCTTGATGGGAGTCAACCCCCCCAAACACCCCCATTGATGACCGGTTTTGACCGGTCATCAATGGGATTCAACACCCCCATCGATGACCGGTCAAAACCGGTCATCGATGGGAGTCAACCCCCCCAAACACCCCCTTGGATGACCGGTTATGACCGGTCATCGATGGGTTTAAACACCCCCAGCGATGACCGGTCAAAACCGGTCATCGATGGGAGTAACCCCCCCCCCCCCAAACACCCCCATCGATGACCTTTGACCGGTCATCGATGGGAGAAACACCCCCATCAAGG